CTGAAGGCCCCAGTGGCCCATGTCCACATGCGTTCGCCCACCACATGTCGGCACACCCCTCACGCGCTGCGAGGCCCAACAGGGAGCTCCACCGCAGGTACCAGTGGCGCTGCCAGCATGCGTCCGCCCCACGCATGTCGGCACACCCCTCACACGTCTCGTGGCCCTATAAAAAGGAGCTCCACCAGAGGTCCCAGTGGCGCAGCCCACATGCGTGCCCCCACCAATTCTGGCACGCCACTCACACGTATCGTGGCCCCACAGGGAGTTTCACCGAAGGTTCCAGTGGCGCAGCCCACATGCGTCCGCCCGATGCATGTCGGCACACCCCTCACGCTTTTCGTGGCCCCATAGGGAATTCCACCGAAGGTTCCAGTGGCGCAGCCCGCATGCGTCCGCTTCACACATTTCGGCACACCCTCACACGTCTCGTGGCCCCAGAGGCACCTCCACCGAAGTTCACAGTAGCGCAGGCTGGGTGGGTCCCCCCGCCCGTTTCGGCACCCCCCTCACGATTTTCGTGGCCCCATAGGCAGATCCGTCCACGGCGAGACTCACAACGACGGCACTCGCAGCCGCAAGTGGTTGGGCCCTTCGCCTGGATAATCTGCCCATGTGTTCTCAACTGATTTCGGTCTCTCGGGCCCGTTGACAATCAAAAGTGGACTCGGGGACGAGAGATTGTCGCCAGGGAAGGGGTCGGGACCTGCGGAGCCACGCGTTGCACAAATCACATCGTAGGATGTCTTGGGCAGGAGGTTCTCAATAAGTTGCGGAGGTGTCTGCAGGTTTCCCGAGAGCGAAGGAGAGCAACATGAGCAGGAGGAGGCAGGAGCAGACCGAGGAGGAGGAGGAGGAGGTGGAGCAGAAATAATCGGAATAGGCAAGGGAAAAGGGACATCACGGAGGAGGGAGTGGAGAAAGGAAGACGATGATAAGCAGCAGCATGAGGAGGAGCACGCAGAGGAGGAGGAGAAACGGGAAGAAGTTGACGGAAATAATGCACACAAGGACATGTTTTCTTAGCCCAATGAGTTGCGAGGTGTGTTTGCAACGCACCGCTGCATGCTCGTGCCGATTAGTATTGGCGTTCGTCCGTCAAGTCAAATGGTACAGGGCTTTCACACGCAGCTGTTCGGTGTACACACATATATCTCTCTATATATATGTATTGGCGTTGGTAGCTCGAGTGTGTGAGCTCTCATCTCAAGAAATATGTGCACATGAACCGGTAGTGCTGAGTTTTCGAGCCTTCGATCTTTCGATCTATCGACCATGGAGCACTGTCCAACTTCATTGACAAGTCGTAGGTGTAAGTATGCATTTGTATATGCACACAGATGCTCAAATAGGCACAGCGGCCTTGGACCGTACTGAAGCAAAGAGATGAGAGGGAGTTGTGAGCACGGAGCTGAGACGGGAGTGGAGGATGAAAGGATTAGCAACAAGTGTGAAAAGACGAGGACAACACCTAGAGGAACAATAGGAGGAGGAGGATAGGGGGAGGAGGAGGAGGAGGAGAGGAGGAGGAGGAGGAGGAGGAGGAGGAGGAGGAGGAGGAGGAGGAGGAGGAGGAGGAGGAGGAGGAGGAGGACGACAACGAGCAGGACAAGTAAATGGGGAGGGGGAAGGATGACGAGGGTGAGGAGGCATGAGGTAGGGGGGGAGAGAGAGAGAGAGAGAGAGAGAGAGAGAGAGACGGAGGAGGAGGATGATGAGGAGGAGAAGGAGGAATACCAGGGGGTATGGAAAGAAGGGACGGGGAAATTGATGAGGAGGTGGGAGGAACGATGGGGTGGAGGTTGAGAGAGAGAAGGGTTCAAGAGGAGAAGGGGTAAGGAGGAAGGACAAGGGGATCGAGGAGGAGGAGGAGGAGGAGGAGCAGCAGGGGGGGATGCCATGTGGACGATGAGGAAGCGGAGGAGGGGGGGGAGAGAGGAGGAGGAGGAGCGGGAGAAGGACGGCATGTGGGCCGTGCTGGCCTGGTTGCAGATCTTGGCCGTCAAGACGGAGCAGCAGGGCAAGCTCGTCACGGTCCAGGACGCTGGGGAGGAGGAGGAGGAGGAGGAGAAGGAGGAGGAGGAGGAGGAGGAGGAGAAGGAGGAGGAGGAGGAGAAGAAGGAGCAGGAGGAGGAGAAGAGGACGAAGGAGGAGGAGGAGGAGGACGAGGAGGAGGAGGAGGAGGAGGAGGACGTTGAGGAGGAGGAGGAGGAGGAGGAGGAGGACGTTGAGGAGGAGGAGGAGCAGCAGGAGGAGGAGCAGGAGAAAGCCGAGGAGGACGAGCGAGGTTATAGCGCCGGATGTGCTCTGGTCGTGGGGACTGTTCCGGGTCGGCGTGCCGACCCTGGAAGCAACAGCTGCGGAGCCCCGGAGACACGTTGCGGCTCTCCATCAGAGCCCCCCCCTCGGAGGGCACCAACTATACACCAACACCGATCCTGGCCCAGGATCACCCTGGGCCCAGGATCGGTGTATATGCCTTCTTGCCCAAGGCAGGAGGGCGTATACACCGATCCTGGGCCCAGGGTGATCCTGGCCAGGATCGGTGTTGGTGTATAGTTGGTGCCTTCCTACCCCCCCCCAAAAAAAAAGCAAACTTGTCGGCGTAAACAGGCCGTGTGATCCTGAAAACATCCCCCAGAAAAAAAAAAACGTTGCGGCTCTCAGTCAGAGCCCCCCCCCCCCCAAAAAAAAAAAACACAGACCTGTCGACGTGGACAGGCTGCGATCCTGAAAGCACCCCCGCCTGTGAGACCACGCCCCCTGCCAACAGGCATGCTTGCTGACATTCGGAGGGCAAGGGGAGACGGTGCGAATCGTAGTCCTCGTGCTCCCGCACCCCCAAGTCATAGGCCTGCCAATGTGTCGCCCACGCCTCGCGGCGATGCAGTGTGCCCATTAGAGCTGCGTGATATGTGTTCCCCCCCAGGCGTTCGCACATGGGAAACAGAATAGTTTCGCATGTGGTGTCTGTCCTCAGACGTTCCCGCGTGACGCATATCATCGAATGGTGTGTGTGTGTGTGTGTGTGTGTGTTGTGGTTGTGTGTGGTTGTGTGTGCTTGTGTGTGTTGACGGTGTGTGTGTGTGGCGTGTGGGAGTGTGTGTCTGTGGTTACGTGAGTGCGTGTGCGTGTGTGTGTGTGTGTGTGTTTACGTGTGTGTGTGTGTGTGCGTGTGCGTGTGCGTGTGTGTGTGTGTGTGCGTGTGCGTGTGCGTGTGCGTGTGGTGTGTGTGTGTGTGTGTGCGCGCGTGCGTGCGTGACTACGTGCGTGTGCGTGTGTGTGTGTGGTTGTGTTTGTGTGTGTGTGTGTGTGTCTTTGTGCTTGTGTGTGTGCGTGTGTGTGTGTGTGTGTGTATGTGTGAGCGTGTGCGTGTGTGCGTGCGTGTGCGCGTGCGTGCGTGCGTGCGTGCGCGCGCGTGTGTGCGTGTGTGTGTGTGTGTGCGCGCGCGTGCGTGTGCGCGCGCGCGTGTGTGTGTGCGTGGTTGTGTGTGTGTGTGTGTGACTGGGGGGGGGGGGGGTCCTGTGTGTGTGCGTACGTGCGTGCGTGCGTGTGGTGCGCGTGCGAGTGCGTGTGCGTGTGCGTGTGCGCGTGCGCGTGCGCGTGCGCGTGCGCGTGCGCGTGCGCGTGCGCGCGCGCGCGCGTGTGTTGTGTGTGTGTGTGTGTGTGTGTGTTTGTGTTTGTGGTTGTGGTTGTGTGTGCGTGTGTGTACGTGTGCATGTGTGCGTGTGTGCGTGTGTGCGTGTGAGCGTGCGTGCGTGCGTGTGCCTGCGTGCGCCTGCGTGCGTCTGTGCGAGTGCGCGCGTGCGCGTGTGCGCGCGCGTGTGTGTGTGTGTGTGTGTGTGTGTGTGTTTGTGTGTATGTGTGTGTGTGCGTGCGTGCGTGCGTGCGTGCATGCGTGCGTGCGTGCGCGCGCGCGCTCGCGTGTGTGTGTGTGTGTGTGTTTGTGTGTGTTTGTGTGTGTGTGTGCGTGCGTGCGTGTGTGCGTGCGTGCGTGCGCGCGCGCGTGTGTGTGTGTGGTTGTGTGTGTGTGTGTGTTTATGTGTATGTGTGTTTGGTTGTGTGTATGTGTGTATGTGTGTGCGCGCGCGTGTATGTGTGTGTGTGTGTGAGTGTGTGTGCGCGTGTGTGTGTATGTGTGTGTGTGTGTGTCTGTTTTTGCGTGTGTGTGTGTGTGTTTTTGTCTTTTTGCGTTGCCACGTGGCGTGCAGGAGAATATCGCAGGCTGCCTCACCGCGCGCAGGCGCAGCCGCGTGGCGAGCGGAGCAGGGTATCAGCTGTGCAGCCACCCGCCCCCGAGGCGCTGCTACGCTGCGCACGGAGTGCAACAGCAGGCGATCGCCCCCCAGGCGATGCCGTGTCCGTTCCTCTGCGCTGCCACGCGGCGTGCAGAGTAGTACCGTGCTGTGTCGCGTGCCAGGGGTACGGTCGGCGTGTTGAGGTGCGGGCGTCAGGGTGGTTGGATAAGGGTCAGCTTACCAGGGTTGGGGCGACTGCTCAGGTTTAGGCTCTTCTGATTCGGGTGTGAGGCTCAGATGCCAGGGTGAGGGTGTTCGTGGTCGAGTCGCCTTCCTTGTGGTAGCAGCGTGACAGCACGTACAGCAAAATCACGGATAGTTCGAAAAAGCGGCTGGTTGGGGAGAATAAGCGCACGGGCGTCGACTAAATGCACCTAGCGCTTAGTGTCGGGCACAACAAGTATTATGCTAATCATCCCATCGCCCCCGCGTTCCCATCATGATAATCAAAACGCGCCCAAGCGTCAGGAAACAAAAGGTCTACCAGCAATCTGGCAGGCCCCACCTTGTGATCAGGATGCTTGCTGGCGGAGGCGCGGCCATGTTTGCATTCGGTGCTGCAGGGTGCAGGACGGACCAGACACGTCTAGCTCGGTCAGCTGTGCGCGCGGAGCCTCGCGATGCATTGGCCACGGGCCCAACATCCAGACACAGCCGAGACGCTGAAAGATGGACCGCTTTGGCGTCAGGAGGGGCTCTGGCCTCCGGGCCGTTCCTCGGGTCCAGGTCGGGGCACCTGCTTTTGGCCGAGGCTCGCAGCAACCAGAAAAAGCCTCTGGGGGCCTTCGCTGGGCCTCCGGGCCGTCAAAAACGACTCGGGATGAAACACCGACCCGGAGGAAAGGGTTGAGACTCCTGGGGGCCGCGTGTGGACAAAATCAGGACGTCGCATCTTTGGGTCGAGGGCCGCCTGAGCGCGCGTGCGGTCTGCCTCTGCCGCGTTGCGACGTAAAACAAATGTCTCGGTTGTCGAAGGTCTTTGGGCCACGCGCAGAGGGGGGTATGGGGGAGGGGGTGAAGGCTTCTTAGAAACACCCCTGCTTCTTAGAAGGCGCGGACCTTATCTGTGGATGTAATGGGGGAAACGTTTTTTTCTTTTTTTTCAAAAAAAAGAAAGAAAAAACAACTTTCTGGGGCGGACGATTTACAAAAACAAAAACTTTCTGGGGCGGACGATTAAAACATTGTTTCGCCGGCCTCCTCGCCCCCGCACTAGCGGGGGGGCAGGGCAGGCAGACGGGGGGCTGACAATTCCGGGTTGCTTGGAAGGCCAGGGGGGGGGGGGGGGGCACGGGGTAGCGATCCAGGGCGCGGGGGCCAGGGGGGTGGACGAGGTGATTTTTCAGGGCGAGCTCGTCCTCCTCCTCCTCCGCCTCCTCCTCCTCGTCCTCCTCCTCCTCCTCCTCGTCCTCCTCCTCCTCCTCCTCCTCGTCCTCCTCCTCCTTTTCCTCCTCCTCCTCCTCCTCCTCCTCCTCCTCCTCCTTCTCCTCGTCCTTCTCCTCCTCGTCCTCCTCCTCCTCCTCCTTTTTCTCCGCTTCCTCCTCCTCGTCCTCCTCCTGTTCGTCCTCCTCTCCCCCCCCGCCCCCGTCCGCAAGGACGAGGGTGGCCCTCTCGCTGTCTCGCCTCCCTTTCCTCCTCGTCGCCGCGCGCCGCAGTCCGCAGCCAGTCAGGCAGGCTGGGAGGCAGGGTGCTCAAGCGGGTGATCAAGCGAGCGAAGGAGGACGAATAGAAAATCAATTCCCCCAAGGGGGCAAAAAAGCAAACGCCGGGGGCGGACGATTAAAAACAGTTTCCGGCGGCTGAATTCTATTAGTCAGCCCCCCTCAATCATTTTGGGGGGTCCGGGGGGGGGATTTTTAATCGTTTCCCCCCATTAGGGCCCGCGTCCTCTAAGAAGCAGCCTCCTTCGAAGAAGCCTTCCCCCCCACAACCCCCTTGTGCGCGCCTCCAACAGAAGCCAGCGCCCGGGTCATCACGTCACGAATTTGCCGTAGCCCCGTCCAGGGCAATCCGCGAAAACAGGGGGGCCAGTTGAGACAACGGCGGGTCTTCCGCTTGGCCCAACTCTGATCAAAGCCATCCGCAGGAACCCCTCCCGGGGTCCGTCCTGACTCATGTCTTGAGGCGGATCCAGCCGTGGCGACGAGAGAAGCTTCCAGGAGGCCCAGAGGGGACAATAAATGATGGGCCTGTTTTCCACCATCACCACCACCAACAACAACAACATAAGTTGGAGGGGGGAGGGAGGTGGAGGATGAGGAGGAGGAGGAAGACTAGGTGGAGGAGGACCCCCTCCCCCTCCTACTTATGCAGGAGGAAGAATAGGTGGAGGAGGACCCCCTATCCCTCCTACTTATAGTGGTGGCGGTGGAGAACATGCCCACCAAGAAACGCCAGGGAGGGCCGTCTTCATCTCGACCCGCGATAAAGTCTGGCCTGTGGGCATTGTTGGCATCACCGGCTGGAGCCCGAAGGTCGTTTCCCAGGCAGTGGTCCGCCTGGCTGCTCCGAGCGGCGGGTCACCAGTCGGGGAGCATCGCCGTCTCCGCGCCAGAGCTTCGTCTTTTCGCGCGCCAAGCCTCAACTTCTTCATGCGTCTTAGCAGGGTGGTGGCATCCAGGGCTGACCTCAGCCCGCCCGCACACTGAGCCGCCCAAACATTCGCGGTGCATCCGGCCTGCTCACCCAGGTCGGCGGAGGCTTTCGAGGCCTTCTGCTAAGGGAGCCGCGCACGTTCCGAATTGG